CTGTATAATCTGTATAATCTGTACATCTGGGTTGTGGGGGGTGCTGTGGGAGGGAAGGAGAGTGTAAGGAGAACTTCAGTCTAGTCTTATTTCTAGCAGCAGAACAGGTTGGAAGATGGTTATTTGATGTTATTTGTTGTTTTTTGAACGTCCTAGGCTCTGACATGTTAAATTAATTTGAAACTGAGGTTTTGAAAAAAATCCATAAAACTTGAAAAGATCCGTGAGATTTCTTTGTGTCCAAATACCTGCAAAATGATGGAAAATCTGCGTAAATTTTGGACAATCCGTACAACTTGACAAATATGAATACCTTGAAATCTGTCTCTGCCTCTTTAAGAAGCTCCTATTGTTTCCGACACTCCCACTTCAGCACGTCTTCACAACGATGCTTCATGCTGTTTGCATCAAAAATTACCTCTGTGAAAGTTTCTTTTTTTTCATTCTGTAAGGGACTGGACTGAGAAGTAGTCAATAATAAAAGTTCAAGAGTTTGGTGGGCCAGGTCCCACTGAGAACAAGCTAGATTTTGTGCCAAGAATGTGGACACAGCTTCTGCTTTAGTTATACAGGAACTGATAGCTCTCAAAACTAACTCAGGTGCCCCATATTCTTGCAACACCTTCGCACCACCACCATTCCCACCGACCCAGAAGTTTTTTGAGGAACACGGTCATAAGCCTTCTCCAGATACACAAAACACATGTAAACTGGAGAGGCAAATTCCCACGACCCTCTTAGTAACTCTGCAAGGGTAATGATCTGATCCACTGTTCCACGACCAGGATGGAAGCCACATCCCTCCTCCTGAAATCAAGGTTTAACAGTCGGTTAGAGTCTCCCTTCCAACACCCTGGAGTAAACTTTCCTGGGGAAGACAAGAAGTGTGATTGCACTGTAACTGACCATGGCTCGGGGAAGAACATATGCTTCACCTTTCTTACCCTATTGTTGTTGTGGGGACTTCTCGATCACAGACTTGCCTCTCTATCCTCTGTGCCACCAYTCCTCCTATCTACAAATCATTAATATTATTAACTCTGAGTGTCATTAACAACACATTCTCCAAATGTTTTTTGTTTTGTAATGTTTTTAAATTTAAAAATAGAATCACCAATATGTACCAAACATGCATTATTTTCATAAGTACAATAACTATAGAGTGTAGTCTGTAAAGTTACAGAGCATGGGAAACTCATCTCAAAATTTTAGATGACCAGAATTGCGTCAGTCTGTTGTGGGCTCAGAGATTGCGAAAGATGATAAAATGTTGCAAAGACGCAAACTTGACAAAGGATGTGGTTACACATTGAGTTATTATAAATTGCTTTGGAAATTGATGCTTACAAATAAGGAAACTGGCTTGTAAGTGGCCCAACTAACCACCCCTGTGAGCACAAGCTGGAATCATTATCATGCACGGTCAAGGTAAACGCCTGGTTTTGCACTTTCTGATGTGTCTTGGACCAGTTGGTAAGCAACCCAAGTTTAAATCTTTTTATCAAACTTTGACATGGGTCAGTGACTTACATTTACTCTAATTAATCTTTTCCAGTCCATGGGTTTAAGATCATAAAAGGAGAAAAAGCCCCGGAGAACTCCATGCAGTTYATGGTCTCCATACAAGATGAACATGGCGTTCACCAGTGTGGAGGATTCCTCATCAGGGAGGACTTTGTGGTCACTGCTGCTCACTGTTCTGAAGAGTGAATTTCTTAACTATTGTTTTTAATTCTACATTTTCTATTGATGAATGTTAAATATCTTTGTCAGAAACATATCAATAACCTGTCAATCATCAATTGTTTAGAAAGATTCATCAAATTCTTCTGGGAAGCCACGATCTCAAGGGGTCAAATAGAAAAATAATACCAATTGGCGAAACATACAAGCCCAAAACCTACATGTCTGTGAAATATGGTGATGACATAATGCTCATTAAGGTAAGTCTATATTCACCACCCACCTTGCATAACTTTAATGAAACAATAAAATGTCTATACTCAGCCAGTTTTACAGACATTGCACTACAAAGTAATAAGGCTGGTACCTGAGAGTTATTCCCAATGCATAATCCAAGCAGTAACTGATTGCACTGCCTGTTACCATTAACTATTGGAGTCAACTGGGTCTGTCTGTTAGCAAAATATCTCATGAACTACAGGATGGCTTTTAATTAAACTCAGAAAGTTTTCATTATGTTTAGATTTACAACAGATTAACTTTTGAAGTAAATCAGTTCAAGATGGCCACCATAACWAMTTTAGGTTAGCCAACACAGACAGATTTTTCAGCTAAAATTAGATGCGATTTAAGCTGAGAGTCACACAGCTAATCAATCTCAGCCAGCACAAAAATGGATCAGTTAATTTTACAGAAGTTGAGCTGATTTACTGACATATTACATAACATGCTTTCACATGTTTGCTGTCAAATAAGTAAAAATACATTGAAGATTTAAGTGTCTGACTCTATCTCGTGTATCTTCAGCTGTCACCGAAAGCATCTCTAAGCAACAGCATAAAAACGATTCCACTCCCAACATCAGAGATGAACCTGAACAAGCCTCAAACATGCTACGTGGCTGGGTGGGGAAAAACTTTAAGCAACCAGTTTGGTGTTAATGAGCTGAGAGTGGTGAATGTATCCATCATTGATCCAGAAATCTGTCAGAGTGAGTGGCATTATGAACTCCCTTCCAATGTTATCTGTGCTGGTGGATACAACACAAATAAGGGGTTCTGTCAGGTAGGTTTGTTTGATTATGACTGGTCTGAACACCGTGTGTTGAACAAACTTTTCAGTATTCCTGCTCTCCACAGGGTGATTCTGGCGGTCCTCTCGTGTGTGAAGGGAAAGCTGTTGGTGTTGTGTCCTTCAACAGAGCTTTGAATTGCAACTACCCAGATGTGCCCAACGTCTACACGAATGTTTTCAGATACCTTCCATGGATCAAAGAGATTCTGAAAAATAACTAATATTAGCTGTAAATTTGCTGCAAAATTGTATCCGACACAGGAGGTGAAATGGCTCGTCTCATTTCAGTCACTGTCAGCATTTGCACTTGATCTGAATAAAACAGAGCATTCAAACACTCGTGGCACTTTTCTTTTCCAGACAACAAACATATGTACAAACAATAAAAAAAAATGAAGCTCACAAAATGTAATAAAATAGGTTGAGTGTTTCTGTTGCTGATTTGTRCAGACACAGCAGTGCCCAGTCCTGGTTCCCGAGGGCCACGGTCCTGCATGTTTTAGTTTTTCTTTTTCTGGTGTTCTACAGGTTTTCAAGTTCTGCAGGAACATGTTAATCACTCAGTCRTTCTGATCAGATGTGTGAGAGCAACATCTGAAACATGCAGACTAGTAGACCTTGAGGGCCAAGGTTGGGCACCTCTGGTTTAGACAAATAAAAGTGTTAGAACACTGTAGCTAACCCACCTGCTGTCCCCCGAGGCCTCAGTTTTAAAGCAGAGACCTCAGGATTCATTATGACCTTAGGGCAGCTGAAGGGTTTTAAGAGACTTCAAGKTGAAACAGTAATTAAATATTTCAGGATTTGTCAATAATTACAAAGGCAGAAAAAAATACCAGATTATAAAATGAAAAATGCAGCGCCAAAGTTGTCGAATATAAAAATGAATGAAGAATAGTTAACTTAATGGTGTTATTACAGAAATTCAGCTATTGGGGTGGAGAAGCTAACAGGATTGTTTCATGGTTTGAAACAAAAAAAATTGTATGGATTTAAAATAACAGAAAAACAGACTTATTGTACAAATATAAACAGTAAATTTGAATTTAGTAATTGTGTAAGGGTATTTTGCAGATTTACAGTTATACTTATAAAATTACTGTGACAAAACAAGTGTGCATGAAAAAAATAAGCTTTTTCTTAGCGTAAGCGTGCTTTTAAAAACAACTTCCACTGGTCAAAGTGCTACACATAAAATTTTAAACAGTAAAAAGAAAATACTGAACACAAGAGACAATATAAACAATCAATTAAAACATAATTAAAAATAAAACAAAAACARTAAAATTTTGCAAAATGTTAACAGTTATGCTGTATAAAAACACACTGAGTATAGATGTGTTATAAAATGAGACTTAAAACTACCAGAAGCAGGCCTGTCTATGACAGAGGGGTGGTTGAAAGACTGTGGAGGGCAAGAAATTGGCCAAAAAGTCAGAATCATTTTCCTGAAGTGTAAAAAAATAATTAAATAGAGAAGCAGTTGCTGTAAATGCAGCTTTGAAGCACATACTGTTTTCAAATTATTCATTTTCTTACTATCTAATTGTGGAGGTTGAACCCAGATCCATGAACACTCTTGTTTGTTCCTCTTCTGCTTGTTTTCTACTCTTACGTACTTAATCCTGTTGCACCCATTCAAATTACTAAGCACCTTCAGTAGATGATGGCTGTGACTTTTGGTTCTCATACCTTTTATGGTTTTGAAAGATTGGGCTTTAATAAGAATATAGTGTGAAATTTTCAGCAGGTTGTTTTTAGTCCATTTCTGCCAATTTCATGCATACTCTTTTTATTTCACAGAAAATCTTTTTTTTTTCAGTTAGAACTCTGATTTACTAATTTTAATTATTTGAGATCAAAAAAATATTGTTTTGTTCCCCATATATGTCAAGGTTTTTATATTGTACCAGCAAGTATACAGTCCTCTTAAAATGCATACTGCGTATTTAACAAAAACTTTCCTAATCTTTTAGATCTAAACGATAAAAACCAAAACAGGTTTACCTGCTTTTACTGGGAGTGAATCATGTTTACTTATAATTATCTTCCTGTCACCATCATGAAAGATGGACGTTCATGTAACTTACTGTGTGATATGGGGATCTCATAAACTGGAGGACAGATTTTCTCAGCAAAAACGACAATATTTCAGTCAGTTTTAAAAATTAGTCATGGTACTAGCTGAATGTTATGCACATACTTTATGTAACAGTTTGTTCAAGATAATTACTGGCCATTTCAAAAGATACTTTAAGGTTTCATAGAGCTGAGAGGCTTAAATGTGGAAGCAGAGTTTCAGTAGGCTAACCAGGATTCTTTCTTCACCCGACTCTTTTTATCTAAATGTGATGTAACTGGAACAGAAAGGGAAGGAATTCACAAAACACACTTTTAGAGAGAAATGTCCAGGGATAAACAGTTGTGAAAATAAGCAGCACAGACTCATGCAGAAATATTGAACTTTGCTTTTTAATTATCATACTTAATAATTCATCACAAAATGCCAACATTGTTCTTTGCTGGACCTCATTTGGAGGCACAGTGACCACCAAAGTCTTGCATCTATTATGAAACCCTGTTTTGAAAATCTTGCAACCATTTGTAACATTACCAGCCTATAAAAAAAGCTCACCATCGTGTTGACCAATGYGCTGAAGCAACAAAGAGACAAAATCAGGAAGATGTTTTCTTCCCCCAAACTTTATAAATCTAAGAGAGCAAAGTTTGGGTTTCACTAGAGACCATGGCAGTCACCTTCAYACTTCTTCTGCTCGCTGTCCTCTCAGGTAAGTTTTACTGACTTTGTAGAAAACAAACTGTAAGGCACACAAACAGGCAGTGAGAAGACTTATTTTAAACAGCGTTTTGCTTTTCAGGGGCTGACGGGGCTCGTATCGTTGGGGGCAAAGATGCTGTCGCCCACTCGCGCCCGTACATGGCCTCGCTGCAAATCCAGGGTCAGCATTTCTGTGGAGGCGTGCTGGTGAGAGAGGACTTTGTGCTCACRGCAGCACATTGTGACATAGAATTGTAAGTCAGCTGCACTTTAATTTTTTTTGCCACAATATGTATCACTAGGGGGGAAGGAATTGTAATGGATCTACAAATTTCCCACCTCATTTTTAGAAAATGACCTTTGGAATCAGATTTTTCTTTCTGTTTTAATAAAAAAAAGGAAGGAATTTTGTTGCTTCTTAAAGTGTTTTATAGTCTGTTGTACAATTTCTCTCATTTAGCTCAATCAAACTTTAAATTTTTCTTCAGAAACTCGATTTAACTTGAGGGGGTATTTTATGTTCAGACACAAACCCGCGCGGGTCAGTGCTGGGGGGGGGCATTTCCACCATATCCATGGAAAAGGGGCATCTTTTTACACTTGTGCTTCTTTCCTGGCTGGACTTGACTGATCCACGGAGTAAATCCCCACTCCTCCCTCCCGTTAGTTTTAACCAGGGGCGTGGTGGCAATATGGATGTTTGGTAAGATTCCCGAACCACTGATCAGTTCAATACCAAATGCAGCTGGACCCTTCTTCATTAAACACTGCTGCTGCTCAGCTCCCGCGTGGCACCGCCCCCGCGGACGCACCCGGTGAAACAGTTAAATAGAGTTGAACACAAGGCGAGCAGCCCGTCACAACTTGAAGTTGAAAAAAAAAATAAGACGAGGAGAGCGGGTAAAAAACATGTCGGTGGCCTCTATGGGCGGCGGGCCGACTATGGGGCTGGGGTCGAGTTTTGGGGGTCTGGTTGGCTCGGGGTGGGGG